TAGGCTTCTGAAAGAGAAGAACCAGAGGAGGAAGCTGACCTTGGAGATGACCCCGTTCTCATCCGTCTGCACCAGGATGCTGCTGCACCAGAAGGTCCCGCAGCCTCGACCCCAGCAGACCCGACTCAGCCCGAACCGATTCACCGAGTACTGACAGGACAGAGAGGCCACGCCCCCCTCCATAACCTTAAAGCAGGAGACTGACAGCAGTGGTCCACCTGAAGTAAGAACAGCAGGAAAACACAGAAGGAGACAGAGAGGATCAAACTGATGGAAATGTTTGAAAACCGACCCGCAGTTTGACTTTTGAAATACGAACAGACAACAGATCTGTTTGCTCTGATTTTATCATTAATATCATTCATTTTTATCATTAAATTTTATCATTAATATATTGTTTTATCCTTAAAAGGCAACTTGAGATTAGCATGAGGTCAGAAAAGGAAGTCATGAACACAGTATTCAACTAGTGTGATTCATTTGACCATAGTTTACCAACCTTGCTGTTTAAGAGAGTTTTAACCCAACTTGAATGAATTCTAGAAATAGACTGAATAGACCTGGCCCTGGATGTTTCCATCGATGCCTGATCCAGGATTTTCTTTAGTATTGGGCGCAATTCAGATGTTGGATCGTTGGAAACGATTAATTCACAGATTTTATCTCTAAAGCTGTAATCCTTAACTTTCTACAACAAGGAGATAAGCAGGGTTTTTGGGAGCCAATTTTTAAATTCTGGACAGATTTCCAAAGCTTGCTAAACTTTGAGAATATTGTATTGTCGCCAATATCTGACACAAACATTATTTGGTGTAGAAACTAAAACTTAGGCTCTTGAACATTTAGAAAAACTGTCTTATACTGATGGGAAAATGTTTCATTCTTAGATGTAGGTATGTTAAAATAAAGCCCACTTTTTGCCATTGGAAATCTGAGACTGACTAAATCCAAAGTATCATTATTGTTAGAACAGTATGATTTAGTATAAGATTTCGCTTATGCTAATGCTCTGTCATTTTTTTAAACTTATTTTAGACACCTTTCAAGTGTGTAAGCTGTTTGATTTTTATTGTGTCCTGTTTTTGAATTATTTTAGGGTCTTTATTATTTATTTGCTCACTCAATGACGCTCCATTTTACGACTCAATTGATTGAATTTAAAATGCAATTCGCCCTATAATTCCAGACCTATTTCCAACTTAAAGGTATTGTTGAGGATTTTAGCGAATTTAACAAAAAAAAAAAAAAAAAAACAAGCCGCCCCGAGAGGGATCCCCTCTGCGTGGTTGGTCACATACCTCCTCCTGCACTACTCGGTGCCTGCGACATCTTTTTTATTAGTTGCCGCTGTCGGCTAGCGACAGCCTATCCCATAATGCTTTGCGAGGAGAGCTCTCCACGCAAAGCATTCTGGGATATAGTAGCCTCTTCTGACGCCTTTCTTTTCTTCTCATACACCTCGTAGACACTTTTTCTCTTACGACCCGCAGCCATTTTCAAAGAACCATATATATGCCTGAAATTGAGCATGAGCAGAAAAATATAGCTAACGCGACAAGCATGTAGGAGGGCCATATGTAACCATATCACCACATTGACTGACTATTAGGGGGACCACTTATTTAGATGATCCACCCGGAAATAAAACACTGTCCTCTATACCTTTAATCAAAACCTGTGAATAGAAAGTAGTGGGAGAATAACTTCCATTCTTGTTTTTGTTGTGGATAGGATTGACATCATACTAAGATTTTAAAATCAGTAACGATACCCAGGACAATATTCAATACTTAAAACCAATACAAAAAATAATAATTAAAGGCATAACAAATATTTTTAGGAAGAGGTAAAACTTGCTTTTTTCAATGTCAGCATTTCACATGTTGTCTATACAGAATAACAAATGCTAGTTTAATAAGTGCAAATCAGTAACTCAGATGTAACATAAGTTGACAATGTCTAATGGATGTTTGAGGTATTATTCTTTTATTGAGCAAAAAAATCCAGAAATCTAACTTTGAGAGCAAAAATATGCAAAGAATGCTGACTTTAGTATCAATATAATAAATATATCTGCAAATAAGTATAGCATTTAGAGTTTGATCCAGATACAGTGTTTTAGTATTAATACTTTACAAAGTATCAATATTTTTGACAACCCTATCAAAGACGATATTTTTAACATCAAACAAGATCAGATAAAAAAATTTAAAGATTCCTGAGATGATTCTAACAGACTCTTAACCAGAACTCCCTTTAATTCTTCAAAATAAAACTTCCTGTTTAGGTTTGAGATGTTTTTCACTTGTTTCTGTTCCATTCTTTTCCAAGCAAACCAGTTGGTTGATCTTTTATAATTGGCTCAAGGTGAGCAATTCTGAGCGACATCTGAGAAATCCTCCCAATCATCCTCCTCCTTCCTACTGCTGAAACTAGGGATGGACAGGAGGCAGGTTTGATCCAGTAATCCAAGTAATCCATAAAAAGCTTTATTGCTTAATTAGATACATTTAAAAAAATTTAATATTTAGTGGTGACACAGAAAACAACATGAAACTGGTGCTGAAGCTCAAACAAAGAACCTGGTGGAGCTGATTTAACAGCAGAACTGATGGAGACATGAAGAAAAACTGAAATATGAACCAATCAGAGCAGAGAAAAAACTTCCAAACCAACAGAAAACTATCAGAGAAACAATGATTCTGAAAACAGGAGGAGGAAAAAAGATCTACTGTTGGCACGACGACAGGCAGGTGAAGCTGTGACATCAGCAGCCAGGTCACAGCGAGCAGGTCTCACCTGAGAGGACGAAGAGGAGGGTGATGAAGGCCAGAGGGCTTGGATGCGACGCTGCAGCCATCCTGTTAACCAAAGAGTGTTTTTGCTGCATGTTTGGATGAAAAGTGAACAGTGAGGCTCTGTGATGGAGGTTTGGGGTCACCGAGGGAGGGGCCACACACACTGCGTCTGTTTGTGTCCGTTTGGATGATGACAACCAGTTTTTGTGTCACTGATGACGATTTTTCTTCTGCTCAATGAAAAGGTTTTACATCATTCTGATAATTATGAGAGGAGGAATATTATCTGACATATTGGATAAAACGTCGCATTTATTGATCCGGACGATTTAGCATTTTAAAGTTGACATGTGATGTTTTTATTTCTTGTTTTGTTTTTCTGATTTCAGTCTAAGAGGAAACATTTAAAGGATCATTCTGGGCTGAAATAACCCCAAACACAGAATTTCATCAGTGATGATGGCAGCAGCGTGTTTACAGTGAAGGAAACAGTAAGACTTTGTCTGACTGTAATGGACGTGCTGTGGAGACGTCGCAGTCACACACAGGACTCTTTATTCTCACTAGATGCTGCTGTCCTGCTTTGTCTCCTCAGCCTGACCAGCTACAGTCACTTTTAAACAAACCCATGTCAGATTAAAGAGAAATAAATATTTATGTTTAATAATCTTTATCACAAAACAAACAGAATTAGCTGCAGAGTGGGAAATCGTAAAAAGCAAAACAGGCGGCAGCAGAACCTGGACCCGGATCTGAAGGATGCAGAAGGATCTGTGTGGATCAATGATCTCGACAGCATGAGGAGACCATGTTAGACACCAGAGAACAAGAAGAGGGACATCCTGAGGCAGCATCATGTCACTGCAGGAAAGTCACAATATAAACTAAAATCAAACACAGAGGATTTAAATCTGACTGAATGGGAGACGATAAAATGAACAAACAGGAACCCAGAGTTCAGATGTTCAGTCACTCTAAAACGCTTATTTTCTCCAACAACACGGATCCATGAGGACAAACCTCCTGATCCTGTCCTCATGTGGACGGGGCCTGCTTCAGTCACAGGGTTTCCTGAAGCTGTGTTTCATTAGCAGCTGGTAACAAAACCCACTAACTATACATCAGCAGCCATTTGTACTCGTAACAAATAACTCAAAACATCACATCATGCTTAAGATGTTTATTATTTTAGACAAATCACCATCCAATGATCACAACAGCAACATGTTGGACATGTCCCATCCCTACAACAGTTTATAAAGTGACAGGAAATATGAATAAGCACCATAATCAGAGAGGGTTCATGATCAAACTGTAGTAAATATGGAGAACATCAGATAATCAGAGTCCCAGATACATTTCCTATAAATCAGTGGTTAAAACACTAAAAACCTAAATATAACATCTCTCATCCCAAAACTATAACGGTCATTTCCACCGTACCCTTCACCCTGTTTAATCCCTAAACCAAGACCGTATATATTCACCAAATGGAAAGATTCTAGAAAAATCAATGATTTCCTCCTTTAAAAGATGATTAATATTCAATTCATTAGAGGATAAAGGACTGAATAATATTTTAAAATACAGAAATAAAATCCCCAAAAGGGCCGATGAACATTTTTAAATCCTTATCTGTTGATGTCTGTGTTTCTACATGAAGATTAAACCAAGGATATAAGCTGAGCTTAACAGAAACCAGAGGTTCTGCTGGGTTCTAAGAGCTGAATGATAATTAACTTTATAACTGGAGAGACGAGAGAAACGAAGCCTGAATCTGGTTCTGCTACAGCAGGAGTCGGCAACCTGTGGCTTTTTAATGCCCCTCTTTGTGTTCTCCCGGAGCTTTTTCAAAAATATATAAAAATGGATTAAGATGGATTTTTTTTGGTGTGTTTTTAATACGGTGTGCAGGAGGTCAAACAAACATTCATTATGTTTCCAGTGCTAAACAAGTTTTAAAGTGACTATAGGTGTTTTATTATAAAGTCAATGCAGGCTGCTCCATGGAGGAGAGTTTAGCTCTGTGGCCTCACACTAAAATGTTCTCCGTTTCGATTTAAACTCGGGGTTTTAGTGATTAAAGTTTTCCTGTTTTCCTGATATATTTGAGGTTTCAATGGTTGTGAGGTCTCCTTGTATTGTTCTGAAAACTGATCCTATTTTAGACCTTAGAGGATTCATGATTCCTAAATAATTGTCCAGAAAACATTAGATTGATCAAATATTTCCTTCTGATCTTCTACAGCTCATTAAAAACTGCTGCTGTCAGAGAGGCTGAGAGTTTAGTTTGGAAGGAGGTAAAAGAATCTAAAAATATTGGTGAAGTTAAGCATACATTAATAAAGGTGATTATACTGAATCTGATGTTCTCTAAAAACATTTAGGATTTTAATATCTGCCTTCAATCATGTTCTTCACCTCATTCAGCAGATGTGAGACCTTTCTGAGATCTCTGATTTCAAGGTTATTGGGTCTCCCTGTTCCCGACTGCATCTTCTAATCCTGACAAGGGTGGAGTGTTGATGATTCTCACCACCAGGTCTTCCACTTCATCAAGCTTTACTTACATTTCTACAGAAAGGAGAGAAAAGATGATATTATTGATAAATGGGATCCTAGTTTATGAGCTAAGACCAGGTCTGGGTAGGGAATGTAAACTAAAAATAAACACATGAGGAAGACCAGAACTATCCTGTGCAGAGGGTCAGACTGAAATAGTTCTGACTCTCATGTGTTGTAGATCTTTCAGATCAGTCTAAAAACAAGCTGAACAGCGTCCTCCAGAGCCTCAGTCATGAAAACACATCCAGCAATGACCTACCAGAAGGTCTGGTTCAAACATAACAATAGAAATGATTTCTCTTTCTTTAGCCCATGTTCTCATTTGGACATGCTTTTGGTTATTTTTTACTCATATAAATTCATTTTAGGATCATTCTGTAAATATAAATGATTTTATTAAACCGTACTGAGCTTCAGATGACAACTGGTGGATATGTGTTAGATAAAGTTCTTTTACGTCTCAATGGTGCCTCTGTGAACACTATCTAATACTTCGTTTGGATCAAAGCTCGAAATGATTCAGGGAATAAAACTAAAAATCGAATCTAAACTGTTGGTCCATTTTTTTTCACTCACTAGATGTATAATATATATAGATTTAGGACATTCAGCTCTTATAACAACTAAGAACATAAACTCTTCATTTAATGAAGTGAAGAATTGAAACCTTCTTTAACTGAACAAACACAAAGTTTAGTTGATTTTAAAGGTCCAATATAAGGCTTTCTGAAACCCTTTAAAGTTACCTATAGGCAAATATATGATAAAAAAATAATGATTCAGCTCCACTGAGTCTATATTTGCTAATTTGTTATTTGGTCAGGGAGAAGCTGCTGCTCAGTTATGTAAATCCTTTATGATTTACATGAAAGAATAGCATAACATTGTTAAAGTAGGCAGAGATGATTTTGAAGGATACAGACCCTTTAAATAAAGTAAAAATGGTCAGTAGTTCAGCTGGAAACATGTTTCCAACTAACATTACACCTTCATGCAGCAGCTGCATTTAGAACTGCAGTAAAATCGATCAGCGGTGGTCACTGCTGTCCTAACAGAGGGCACCAGTCAAATACCTGCACACATAACCTGCCCTGATTGGTCAGAAACACCTGGAAGCTGGGAATTCAGTAAAAGTTAAACTTGTTAAAACTTTGAGATCTACCAGGCAGAGGTTTATGATTTAAAGTTTAAGGTCAGAAGATGGAAAGTTGCTCTTTGCCTTCTTGTTCTTTATTCATACTTTTTAAGCTTCTGTGACAAATAATATTGGATATTTTTTTAAATACATTATTTATTTATTTAATCGGGACAGAGCACATTAATGAACAATCTTATACTTCTGTACAGATTGTAAATGAGCCAGATTATACCATAGTTGCTAATTTACATCTGTCGTCCTGAGGCAGGAAGACAAAACAACACAAGATCACATAATACATTATCAGTCAAAACACATAGACACACGTTCAGACAATGACATTACAATAATAAAATTAGTGAGTGCATGACTGGGAACTTTTAAGAAACTGCTTAAGGTGCTTTTTAAATGTGCAATAAGTGGGAGATTCCCTGATGTTTGTTTGGAGGCTGTTCCAGAAGGGACCCCTCTGACTGAGGGGGTCCCTTCTGGAACAGCCTAGAGATCCCCCACTTCTGTTGTTCTCCATTGCTCCCAGGAAGAAGTTCTCTGAAATATATAACTGCAACACAGATAAATTGTGGTTTCAGTGTGAAATATTTTCATCTTTAGCATTTCACACGTCGGCTTGTTTTAGATGGAAGAAAATCCTATTTAAGGATGTATATAGTCAGTTTATTAGGTACACCTTACTTGTAGAAATAGGCATTTATAGTACAGTTGATCAATATTGTAGGAGCCAAATAGGGTTAAGTGGTTTGTCTTTTTTATCATTTCACTGCATGTGTATCAAGTGTGTACATGCACACGCCTCAGCTCCACAGTGACTGGAGGTGGCACCATGGGAGACCTGATCACCTGATGGTTTGTGTGTTGGGCCTGCAGTTTGGCATGGAGTGAGCCTGTCGACTGCATCAATCAAGCCCTTTTTGCATGACAACACAATTCCCACTTGTTGTCTATTCCATTTGCACAACAGTGTGTTGACTGTTAATCAGTTACTTCCTCATTCACATAAGTTTGATGTTGCGATAAATTGTTGCAGAACACCGGAAGTACGCCGCTCTGAAGACACACCCATCTGGTGTAGGTTTTAAACCACTAGCTTCCCATATTAGCGTCCTATTTTATCTTCATCATCACTGTCCTTATAGCTACTGTGATACTGCTGCTACACTAGCAGGTTGGATCCATTCTTCATCTCAGCTATTATACGATTTATCAGGCACGCTCTCTCAGTTCAACTTCGTTCAATAGGTTGCCAGATTTCTATAGAGCCCTCCAGGCGAAACCACGGCTAAATCACACCGTAAACACCGGAAAAACACCCAGTCTGGCAACACCAGCTACCAGTGTCGTAGCCTACAGCCACGTGCGTCATCAAAACAAAATGCAGCGTGGAAGCCACAGCAGCATGGAGGCGACAAAGCAGCAGTATGATCACTTAAAACAGTTTTATGACCAGGTGGTCGGTGAGGATGATGGCAACAATCTTACATTTCTCTGCAAACTTTGCCCGTCGGCTTTCAGTAAAAAAATCCGCACTTCAGTAACATCCAAAGCAAATCTGAAACGGCATATGTACTGAAATGGAATTTCAACTGGAAAAAAATATTAAAATTAAAAAAACATTTGCACCTTAAAGACTACTTTCCTGTTTTTCTTTTAATAATTCCGCATAAAAAAGACCATTCAAGCAGCACATTTTTTCTGATGTTTTGAGAATATACTGTAGGGGTGAAAGCTGCAGCTGCTACTAGTGTGAAGTGAATGGACAGCAACAAAGCATTAAAGCAACAATGGGGAAATGCTGTCCCCTCAATGCTAATGTGAACCCTGGTCGGATAAGGATTCAAAACTGGATATGAAGATGAAATCTGATGCACAGTTTCAGTGTTACAACTGATAAAATAATTGCTGTCTGTGGTTCTACAGTAGGCTATGGTGTAATTGAGCAATACATGAAAAAAAAGAACTATGAACTAGTTCATTTTTTGGAACTGTGAACTTAGTTCAAAAATTTGAATTATAAACTATGAACTGAACTAGTTCATTTTAAAATGTGTGAACTGAACTTTGAACTAGTTCACGTAGAAAGAGAACTTTCCCAACACTGCAAACATGTTAGCACCTGTTTTAAAACCTACAAACCTCCTTAAGATCAGGTTTAAGATGTCTTTATTGCCTCTTTTTGGTTGAATAAAACTCATTTAAGATTTGGGCGGTTTATTAAAAAAATTTGAGAGAGGAAAAGAACCTGTCAAGCCACAGATACTGGGTTCCATTGAGTCTGTGATGCAGAGTTCATACACGTTTACCTTGGTAACTCAGCTGAAGTGAAGGCTCCACCTCCAGAGGACCTCGTCTGTTTGGCCACAACTTTGAGACCAACTCTGTAGCTTCATCAAAGTCTATAAATGGCCGAAATTTATCTTTGCTGTATGTCACATCGTCCTTCTTGCAATACTTGAGGTTCTCTCCAAGTTTATCAACATCAAACTTAAGAACCTGCCAAAGAGAAAGTAATATATGAGAAACATTCTTCGTACATGAATTTTTTTTTTTTTTTTTACAAAATGCCAATCATTCCAAAATAATTAACCAAAATAATGTGTAAAGGTTATATTGCCTGTTGTCAGCTACTGCTTGACAGTAGCTAACCCCACCAACCCAGATCCTTCCCCAGTCTAAGGTAATCTCCCACATCAACACTAAATGAAGGACATGACCGAAGTTAAAAATTTTTGTTGTGAAGCTTTTTATATATCTGGTCCTTAGTCAGCATTCAGGAGCACCATCTCTGCTTGTGTAGCTCCTCGTTTTCCCCCACCTGCTCTCTAAGTTTTGAGTCATACATAGATAGTAATGGAATGGTTCTGTCTTACGTCGCTAATTGTTAGCAAGTTTTCTGAAAGGTGAGGAAGCATCTGTGGAATCTCAACCGGGTTTTGACTGTTTCAATCTATACTTTCAGAGTTAGCAAAACTATTAACTTCATCTATATATTTTAAGTCTGCTAGTAGCGTCATCAACAAAATCCTCTTCAACAGCCAATGGCATTCAATACTCTTCTTCTTTATCAACCTCATTAGGGTCCAGTTCCTGCCTCCAACAAACTTCAACTCCACTCTGCTCCCGTCACCATCCTGGTCTACCTTCTACTCAATTCAGCTTCCTTCCTCTCTTATCGTCCAATCCACCACAGTGTCCAGAAAACAAATATTTCAACAAACGAGCAGCAGCTGTCAACATTGTTTCCAACATAAAGTCTTTAACTTTCACTGGTCAGTGAGGATACCTTTTCATTTCCCAGATGCAGGGCAACAGCAAAATGGTCCCAAACATAAAACTGATGAAATTCAGGAGCAGGTCCTGCTTCCATCCGGTCCGGATTTTCCGATTTTAGTTCAAGCCTGTAAAAACAACAATAGACACTGGATCATTAACTAAACTAAAGTTCCCTAGTCAGTCAGTCTGTAATTTGCTACCAAGGCATTGTCTGTTTCCATCCTCCTTCCATATTTATCATGTTCTCAATAACTAAGTATATATTTCTTTCTTTAGGTTGTTAAATGTTAATTAATTTGGCCACACAGTTGTTGTAGAGAGAAAAAAAATAGTTTTAACATATTTTTGATCAAGGAAGTCTTGAAACCTCATCTGTGCTTCCAGTTCATCAAGATTATGATTCTACTATATTATTTAGTTCTTCGGCTTGTTCGATGTTTTCATCTCACATATTTCAGTTTTGCGCAAATATTATTCAAACTTTTAGATGTCAGAATATTTATGGAGTGATTTGAAGATGTAATGCAGACCATGTATTAGGATTAACATCATTTCTACTGAGTCCTTTTCTCCTGTCAATGCTATCTAAATAAGGTGATTATATTTTGTTTCTTTTTCTCTGAACAGTAAGATGGTTTGATGGAAGGTAGACTGATCGTGTTTGTTATTTTGGCCTAAGGTCCAATCTGAAAGTTTGAAATCACTGTTACAGGATTCATTTCATTATTATGGAAAGAGGGTAATTCTATAAGATAGAATGTTATGAGTTATTAGAGGATATACAAAGATGTGAAGCCTACAAACCAAATATGGAAATTAAGGAAATGATGGGTTATGACTGCAAATAATTATGTTGTTTTATTTCAGTTCGGGACTTGAGAAATTAGACTTATGTAAAATACAGGTATGTTGTAGTTGGTAATATTAAATGAAGACATGGTTTCAGTGATTTGCAACGCTGCCAATCAGAAAAAAGGTCCTGGGTTCAAATACTGCGTGAAGTCTGCATGTTCTACTGGTGAATGAGTGGGTTCTCTCCAGGTACTCTGACTTCCTCCCTCAGGATCATAGGTTAACTGGTAACATTTTAGATATGACTGCCTGGTTGTTTGCTTCCCTGTGCTGCCGTCAGATTATGATTCCTGGTTTATTAAAGTACTGCAGTAGCAAACTCAAACTTGTAGTAACTTTAACTCTATCTTACTTTTTATTCAACAGGCATTTAAGAACTGTTGTTCTGCTTACCAATGAGTGCCACACATGGCCTGTGCCCTCCAGATGAAATGCCCATCTCTGTAAACACAGATGGCTTCTGGGTTATCCTCCAATAAAGGACAGTCTTTGAACGTCTCATTGAAATCTGGGCTGTGGACCAGAACCACGTACATCACTTCCTGTGGGTGCAGAACAGTCTTGTACACCCGCATGATGGGCTCAGCTCCAGAGCAGAACTGGAGAAAGAAGACAGAATTTTAAGTGGATATGAAATAGTCAACCAAACTAATTTAATTCAAGAGGTTGTGTCTTACCATTATCAATAATTATACTACAAAATAGAAAAATATAAATGTAATAAACTGAATGTTGCAGTACCTCAAACGGTGACATCACAGGGTTGGTTGATGCTTCAGCTAGTAATTGAATACACGGGATATACCGGCGATTCATTGCAACTATAAAAAAGACTTAAAACATTAGGTTTGATGGAAGATGAAGCTGAAAGGACACTGAAGCGCCTAAATCACGTTTTTTTTTTTTTTTAGCTTTGAGCTTTGCTTACTGTGATTCCCCATTGCCACAACAGGCAGTCAGGTTATTTTCCGGTAACATCTCTCCCCTGCCATCCTGCAGGGTTTATTTCTGAAGTGTCCGTTAGTTACATGCCTCCGTTTGTTGACAAGGTAGGGCCGATCTTCGCGTAGCATGGATAGTCGAAACCCCAGCTCCAAAACTGCCTCTTCTCTCCTTCCTACGTCTCAAGTCACTCAGTAAATTTGCTCGAAAGCATAAGCAATGGTATTTAGACGCTTGAGAGGCCTTTCAGGTTCATCTTCCATCAAACCAAATTTCTTAAGTGTTTTATGGTTGTGAGGTATAGCTGGTTTGATCAATATATTCAACTGCTAGCTGAAGCATTAACCAGCACCATGATGTCACAGTTTGTAACAATACAACATGGCGATGCCCTGCCAAACAAGGGAAAACAACTGTACATGTTTTCTTTTACTTTTATATTTTTCACATTTGTGTATAATTATTGATAATAATACGGAACAATCTGCTAAATTAAGTTAGTTTGGTTGACAGTTTCATTTCAACTTTAATTTATTAATTTGTAGCCACACAGAAACGTTCAACCATTGTAGATAAATGAAAGGAACCAAGATGGAGGCTGTTGATGAAGTCCAAACCTACAGCAGAGGATCTGATGCAGAAAAAGAGTGGAAAGAAACCGGAAACAAATGGCTGCAAAATAGGGGGAATAGGCTGAGGGACCCATGAAAGATCAAATGTTTGACTTGTTGAAGGTTCTCACCTGTTTTCTATAGGCTATCAGCACCTCCTCCAGTGAGAAAGTGAAGCGGAACGAGCCTACCCGGGACGTCTCCTTGAAGGCTGGAGAGGTGGCAAACTTCCACAGGAATCTCTGCTGCTCAGGATCTCTCACCTCCCTCCGATTTGGGAAGGTCTCCTTCAGGAGCCTATCTTCAGCATCATTTATCTCTTCTGGTCCCACAGCCAGACTCCACCACATCAGGGATATTTTGGATTCTCCATCTGGATCCCTTAAGTCTTTTTCTGGAACCCTGAAGCCTCCATCCTTCCAGATCCCTTCAAGTCCACCTGCAGTGGTTTCATGTTTCAGACGATTCACATGAAATTCTGGTTTAGGATATTCTGGGATGTTTGTTTTGTGCAGGTATCTGTTCGTCTCGCCAGCCTTCTCCTTTTTCAAATCATCTAGCTTTAAATGTTTGGCTTTGATTTCAGTTTTTTTTTTTTCACTATTCATGATGCAATGCCCTGTGAAGTAGAATAAAGAGTAAATTTTATCTTTTCAGGCCAAAATGTTTGTGTGGGATATTCTTGGAAGTTTGTCTTTGTAAAGGTGTTTTTGTTCTTAAACTGCAAGGTTTCTCTTTTTTATGTAGATAGCTTAGTTTCAGGTTTCCATACAAGACAATTTCTATTGGTTAATGGTGCAAAGGGAGATAAACTGAATGGAGAAAAGGATGACAGTTTTTTTTTTATTTTGTCAGGTTCTACTTTCTCTGAAAGTTTCAGACAGGAACCAGTTGATAACCATGGCCTTTTCCTGCAGCTAGCTAACTATGTGCTTACATATACACACACGCCATCCTCAACAGCACCTTTTCCTTTCATGTCCACAGTATTACTCTGTCAGCTTACTGCCATCTTTGCAACATAAACCATCTCTGTCCTTCTCTTTAAAGTCACTCCAATGCTGTCTTTGTTTACTTCCCGCCTAGACTGCCCCCCCTCCCCCCAAAACAAAAAACTTGTCATAAACAACAACACGTCCAGAACTCAGCTGCTAGTTACACATATTCCCTCAAACCATCACATTACACCTGTCCTCCACCTGCTAAACTGGCTTCCCATTTCCCATCTTATAAACTGCAGAATAGTTCTTCTAACGTTCAAGACTCTCCACAACCTCTCTACCCCACATCAACCTCACCGTCAGATCCTGTTCTTCCATTTGTCGCACTGTTCCCTCTGACCGTCTACCATGGGGAGGACAGCTTTTAGCCACTCTGGAACTCACTCCCACCGGATCTACGCACCCATTCAAACAGCTCAATTGACGTTCTGAGTCAGACTTTGTTGCTTAAAAACACGTTAAAAACGCTTTGCCCCCCAACTTATCTCTAAAGCATTGAAGCATTTTGACTAGCGTGTGACCCAACATCCAAGCTTTGGCATTTAAGTGTTTTTGACAACCAGAACTGAAAAAAATAATGCAACCGCTTTTGGCATTTACTTAATCATATTTAGTTAATTTAACAAAATAGTTTTATGTCCTACCCTGCTAACATGAAACACTTGTGTTTAAGAAACTATGATTAAGTAAATGCCAAAAATGGTTGCACCATAAGACTTTGACTTTTGACTTTGTTCAAAAATCTGCCTAGTGCTACACATTCTCATCCTCATACTTTGGACCTTGTGCTGACATAAGACATTGAATGTGAAGATATAACAATATTTCTTTTAATGACCTTCTTGACCTACTTAATCAGACTACTTCTCCCCAAAAAGAAGGTATCACCTTAGCAGATCATTATCAGATAATGCATTTATAATTTTAAAGAACCTGTTTTACTTGTGTCTCCTTTGTATCACTGAACAATACTGCAGTGGACAAACATGTAGTTTATTCTCCTTTAAAAAATTAATGTTGCTAGTTCTCTGCGTACTGCCTTAGACAACATAGCCCTTTGAAGAAGAATAAACTTAAAAAATAGAGAGGTGGCTCCCTGGTTTAATGTAGAGCTGCATATTTTGAACCAAATTCAAGAAGCTGGAGAGAAATGGTGCTCTCCATGAAGTCATATCTAGTCTAGAAAAACAGTTTCCTGCTGAACCTTGGATAAAAAGAAAAGTAAAAAATGATGTCCATGGCTGTGGATACAATGTATTTCACCACCATCAGCTTAGGATTAAGGAGGATGAAGACCTGTTGTAGTAATAATGATTACTTTGGGGTCCTCTAACTTGAAACGCTACATGTTAGTTATGAATTAGTTAACATATAACTCTTCAGATTAATAAAAAGGTTCTTATAACTGTTTTTTGGTCGTCCTTACGGTGCGAGCTTGGTTATTGCATCATCATAGGCTTCAAGTACACAGCGTTATTAGGTGAAGCACAATCTGATGCACACTTACTACAACTTTTGGGACTGTTAAACAGGGCCGTGCAGAGACCACTAAAGGGGCAGGTGCTCAAAAAAAAAAAGGGCACATCTTATCACATTTTAGGACAGAATATTAACAAAGTCACATAGCTTTCAGAGTTTAATGAACAATGATAAATTACAAAA